TGAAGGAAACGGCTCCATAGTCCGGACGGGCAGGCAGCACAGTGAACCGTAGCAAGGGCTAACACTGTTAGCAACTGACTAACAGGACTGAATAACGAGACGCCGACACAGGACTCTACCGTACGACAACAGAGTAGACACGACAAGGATCCGACAACAGGTGGGCTTAAATACACAGAGGTTAATCAGACACACCTGGGGAAAAAAGAGGGAGGAGACAAAACAACACAGATCTAAATAAACACAGAAAACCTCAAATAAACACACAGAGAATTCAAATCACAAGTAATGCATAACCTTTAGTAAACCAAGTCCTCAATTGAAAACATTTGTATTGTATTTACTCTGTCTTTTTCTGTTATTAAACTTTGAAAAATGTGAAAATTTAAGTGAAAAAAAGCCAAAAACAGCATAACTGAAGGGGCCAGCCTTTTCATACCACTGTATATAATAACACGATTAATAGATAGAAAAACCAAATAACACAAATTTAAAATAGCTGTACAGAAAACAAATATTCACATTAGAGGTGTGCCGATCGATTGGCCACCGATCATAATCGGCTGATTTCCATTAAAGTGTATGATCGGTGATAGCCGATCACTGTCTCTTGTTGCCGATCACATTTATCTCACCTCACAGCCTGTCTGTGCAGCTCACCTCCTCTTTCCTTCACACTGCGCAAGCGCCAATCCTGTCATGTGGAAATCTAACGCTCTGAGAGTGAATGGGGACGTTTGCGTGTTGCGGCGAAAAATTACCTCGAGATCGAAACACGTCAAAATGCATCAACACAACAAATATAATATGGCATTTAAAAAACAAGCACTTGACGGAGTTTGGCTACATCGAGGCTCAATGCAGGAACAAAAGGACATCCGGAGCGGCAGGTAAAGCAGCGCACAACTACCAACACTCACCTGGAAGAGCATCACGGTCAGAAAGTTAAACAAATAATGAAAAATAATTCAAGTCTTTGAGCTAACAGTGTAAGTCGCTGGTTCTGTTCTCGCTCTTGAACCGCCGCTACCCGCTACTGGTGGCAATATTTCACAGATGAAGCTCCGTTTCTGCTCCACCCGCAGTGAACTCTCACACAAACAGCGAAAAAAACAAAACAAAAAAAATCTTGGATATGTATTAAAACTTTCGCTGTCCTAACCTAAGACAGATAATCTCTGAAAATAATCGACCTTCTCTGCCTCCTCCCTGTGTTCTGCAGAATTCGGTCAGAAACAACCAATCAGAACCAGCGTGAATCAGCTAGCCATGCTATCAGGAAGTTTTGACTTAGTAATTTAGGATTGTTTATTTTAATTTAACCTGCATTTGACTTTGAATGAATGTCTCCTTTATTACTTGACATTATTTGATATAGGCAGATTTATTTATTTATGGAACTGAGAGCCTTACTGTTAAATATTATTTTACTGATTGCAGATTTTTCAGTTGTCTTTTTGACTGAGCTGCTGTATTGTTCCTGCAAGTATTTTGCATGTTTATGTCTAAGTTAAGTAAATTTATTGCCAGATCATTTTTTAATTTTGCCAGATCACTTAGGAATCGGCAGCAAAAAACCTGATCGTTGCAACCCTAATTCACATAATGTCATTTTGTTTGGACAGTGAGGATTCAAATGCAGAGAGAAGGCAGGCAGGGTTAGGTTTATGTTGACATAGCGAGGAAAATAAATTGCACAAATACCACAGAAACAAATACAAAGCAGAGAAACAATGGAGAGAACAGAAAACTTGGGAAGACAACCAGAGAGTAATCAGATAACCCAAGAATTCAACAATAAATTAGTTAAAGTATAAGTATATTTTTGGGGTTGTCTGTAATGTGCCTCTGTGGGATGCATAAGTGAAGACTCTGTAAGACAGACTTAAATAAGTAAGTACAGTTATTAACCAATGCATATGCAGGTTAAGCAAGCCCAAAATGCATAGATTAATGTTAGTTAAACATTAGAGAGTTATTGAGAATTTAGAGACTGGTCATACCGACAAAGCCAATAAAGACCCACTTGGTCTCTGGACAGCGTCCATCTTTATAGATCTTCCCCCAGCACCTGTTTTCCAACACGAGCATATTATAACAATCACATATTCCACATTGACATCTTGTTTGGACCCTATGCCACATTGTCCCCTTGTGCCTCTGGAATCTTCCTCGTGCCTTCAGGAAAACTGAATCCATAGGTAAACATGTTTTTCAAACTCAATGTTTTTTGTGCTGTGATGCATTCCAGGTCATTCCAAAAAGTCCATTTGTGTGTCCAGACTACAGACTCTACTTCGCTCATAGCAAAAGCCTCAGCTTTTGTGTGATATTGAGATATAAAGATATAGCCTGTTTTCAAACACTACAAAGTCAATGGTAAAACTGCAGAAAAGAGGTGATCAGAAGAACTGATCTGTTGCAGCTGAGAGCCAAGCGGTCCCATGGAGTGACTGAGAATGTGAAACACACAAACTAACTTAAACTAATTACAGAGGAATCTGGTAAACAGAGGAAATACTAACATGGACGAGGAAGTCAGTAGATGGAAAACTAATATTAAACTTATGAACCTGACAAACCAAAAATAAAAGATGACTAGAGAAAAGAACTAAGAATTCACAGTATACAAAATAATACAAAAATAGGAAATGTCCTGAAAAGACTGTGACACTCAGTGTTGTTGACCAGATATGGAGGATGTAAAAAGACGGGTACACTACGAGAAACTGAGAGGGTGAAGCAAAAGATGAGTCAAAAAGTCTCTGTAGGCAGGATTTCCTCTACCAGAGGAGGACAACGCTATGATCTGCCAGCAAGGCGCCTGCTGCCTACTGCCATCTCTGGAAGGTAAGCCATATTGTTTCCACAAAACTCTTGATTTTATTTACCAACAAAAAATAGCTTAGCTATAGATTTAGTTCTGGAAGCTGTTACTCTGTGTGTCTGTTTTAAATTAAGGGTTTTTATGAAAAACAGCTGTGAGCAAGTATCACATATGTAACCTGTCAGTTTCATTTTACAGTTGGTCTTGATGGTGTGACACACAATAAGGAAAATTAAGAAATGTGCTCTTAGATCAAAATAACAAAGATACGTTATGTTTCCACTGTTCAATCTATTAAGCTCTTTTTAGTGTTTAATTAGCAGCACCAATAATGAAAACATGTAAGTAACAGACAGCAGGGGTGACACCGGATCCAGCACAAACTGATAACCAGAATCATTTGTTGTCTGAAAGAGATTGGTTGTGTCATCTACCACTGACCTGGAACTGGTCAGTGGCATGGAAGTTTCTGTTGTTGATATAGGTTACTGTGCTGTTTAAGCATCAATGAACATGTGAGAATATAATCTCTCTGATTCACTCTTCCTTCCATTCAAGTGTTCCATTGCAGTAAATTGTGACCTTTCAACGTGGATCACACTCAGCAGCCATGGTGGCATGTGGGCTCAGGCCATTGTTGCTCCTCGCTGTCATCCTCCTCCTCCTGAGCTCCCTCCCACTGCTGGTTTATCACAGCTTGGTCATCCAGATGCTTCACATGCAGCAGTACCCTGCGCCTGCTTCTCAGAGGAATCTCAGCATCTTGTTGTGGCACTGGCCATTCGGACGGTCCTACAGTCTCAGTGGGAACAAATGTCTGGAGATGTACGGCATTGGCCACTGTTTCCTCACTGATGACAGATCCGCCTACCCAACTGCAGATGTGGTTGTATTCCACCACCAGGAGTTAAGCAATGCTGCGTCAGCTCTGCCAATGCACTTGCCTCGGCCATCGGCCCAGGGCTGGGTGTGGCTATCCATGGAGCCTCCAGTCAACAATGCAAATGTCAAGCAGCTTAACGGTGTCTTTAATTGGACGATGAGCTACAGACGGGACGCGGATGTTACCACTCCTTATGGAGAAACCCTTCCAGGAGCTGGAATGCAAGGCTTTCAAAGTGCTTTAAACCGTTCCTGCTTTGCAAGCTGGGTGGTTAGCAAATCCAAGCCCAACCAGACCCGTGTTGATGTTTACCAAAGTCTGCAGAAGTACATCCCCATCCAGGTGTATGGAAAGTGGAAGAAGAAGCCTCTCCCAGACGATCGGTTGCTGCCCACCATCTCAAAATGTCTGTTCTACTTGTCTTTTGAAAACTCAGAGGCAAAAGACTATATCAGTGAGAAGCTGTGGAGGAATGCATTCCAAGCAGGGACCATTCCAGTAGTTCTTGGCCCTAGCAGGCCCACCTATGAGGAAGTGGCTCCGCCTCATTCCTTCATCCATGTAGCTGATTTTAAGAGTATAGTAGAACTGGCTGCTTACCTGAATCATGTGGCTGCAGACAAGCAAGCCTATGAGGAGTACTTCAAGTGGCACAAGACACACAGGATTAAAACCTACACCGACTGGAGAGAAAGACTCTGTCAGATCTGCCTTAAGTACCCCAGTTTACCAACCAGGAAGGTTTACCAGGACCTGGATGGCTGGGTTAACAGTTGATACTCCTAACACTGCTGGCTGACTGCAGGAAGATGCATATGGAGTGAAAATAGTCTCAAAATATCTGTGCGTGTGTAAAAAGATATATTCATGCGTAAAAGGATTTGTGTGTGTGTAAAAATATCTGTGCATGTGTAATACTGAATTTATAAACCTTAAAAATAAAATAAACCTTCTCCTACGCCTATACATGTTGAAAAAGTACACACAAATCACCTGGTACACACACACAAAACTGCATTTACACACAGATCCGGTTACAATTGCACAACTATTTTTGAGACTCATTTCACGCTTCGGGGAAGCTCCAAGATTTGTGTGTAGATGGTGCGTTTACATGCTAGTAAAAGCTGGGACATCTGAGTTTTGCTCTGAGTCTAGTGTTTTTATCCTCTGACGTTTCTCACTGTGCCGAAGTGGCAAATACTTTAGTTCGTGGAAAATGGAATATATCAGCACTTCCTTATAATATCCTAAAATTATTTATAGACATATTGTGCATTTTTGAGCGGTACAGGAGACTAAGTGGTCTGAAAAAGGACCACTGGGTGGCGGAATGGTTCGCTGGCTGGAAAAATAGCCAGGCAAACCCAAGAAGCGAGACGGAGCGTCCCGGTGGTCTGTGGGTGGTACCGCCCACGTTAAAATACACTACAATATGCACAACTTTTAAGTGTTCCCCCAGAGCGGCATTGTTTATTAATTAATCAGAAAATAAGTCTGATTAATTATTAATCAGACTTATTATTGTTTGGAACCACTTCCAGAATTTAGGATGCTTAAGTGACTAAGCTTTCATGAATGCAGACAGAACATCTGCATAGTGCAACATGAGATTAAAGAACATTATTATTATTATTATTATTATTATTATTATTTTATTTCTACAATATCCCAGTACTAGCAATTGCCTAAATTATTCTAAAGTGGCAAATTCTGTAAGAATGTTGTCTTTAAGTTGTGATGCTCATGTGCCACAATTTTTTTAAAATGTTCAACAGATCCTGAGGCAACCTGGCACAGCTATGTCAAATAAGGCTACAACATCCCTGTTACTATATATTTACTGATATAAATATATCAGTATATTGTTGCTTCTCAGAGTCTAAACATTTGAAAAACTTGAATTCATATCAGGTTAGTATGAATCTAGTTTTACTGCAAATCACTAAAGCAATCTACATTTTCTCAAACAGAAAAACTAAACAGTATAAAAATAAGGACAATTTTTTCCTCTTCACTGTCTACAGTCCTTTACATTTTTATTGTAGATATGAACCATGAGAATACTACATGTATCACAAGCACCAACATAAAGGCCATCAGGACAGATGAGGACACAGGGTCACCGTATTGAGAGTAAAACTCCAACGCAGGAAGTTTTTTTTATTTTCCAAACAGCAATGCTTGTCCCTGCCAGGGCCTGACTTTAACAGAGGAGCTGATAAAAGGCCCTGGCGGTGACAGACTTCTCCAAACTGAGTAACCCACACAAAGGCCAGAGGAACAGCGACAGCCTCCCAATGACCCCTGGATGAGCTGACCAAGTCTTGTCCCAAGCTGAACCGCCCATCCAGCATACTTTGACAGGAAGTAATTTTGGGAGAACTAAAAGGCACCACACAAAGAAATTACAAACCAAGGGGAAAGGGCTAACAATGATCTCTATTTGAGAGCCCCGCAATCATTGTCCGATTTTAAAACTGGCTTGAAAATTTTCCTCTTTAGACAAGCCTTCTCCACTTTTATTTGACAGTCTCTTTTTTAATTGTTTTTGATTGTTGATTTTATGTTTTTAGATGAACCATGTAGCACTTTGAGATTTTTATTAATGAAAAGTGCATTATAAATTAAATTTATTATTATTATTAATTTATAAACACTCAGAGCCTTTCAACAGTATGTATTATTCTTGATCCATTACAACCATATTATCAATGTCTTATATTTGTTTTTGTTTTGTTTTTGGGGTGATGGGGGTGATATGCTGGACTAATGCAAATCATACGAAAAATAATCCATGGTTTTCCTTTTTTTTTTTCTTCTTGTGGTTGGTTCCATATGCATTTTGATTTATTTCTCTCAGATCATTGTTAGCCCTTTCCCCTTGGTTTGTAATTTCTTTGTGTCTAATTCACCTTCCCATAGTCTGCCTGTTTTCCCCCTGATCTGCATTCAATGTCATTCTATTCCTCCCTCAATATAAGAGTACAAAATTAACCAGTTTTCATTGTTCATTACTAGTTCATCTGCCCGTTCTGCTCTATCCTGCTTCATACTCCTTCTGATTTATTTTTAGATTTAATTGGTTTCATTATTGTCAGTTTACATTTTTGAACTCTTGGGTTTTGGGACTGGTTTTTGTACATTTATTTTTGTATTGTTGAATTTTTTGTTGTTGTTGTTGCTCTACTTCTGCATCCCTATGCCTGCTTTTGGGTCCTCCAGAACCATCATCACAAAATCTTTTAATGCCATAATAAAACAGTGTGCTTTGCTGCAGTCACAATATTACTTTGTAGCTGTAATTGGTGGCTAGGGTTAGGGTTAGCATCAGCTTATACACCGTTCAAGGTAGTGAAATAAAACAAAACATGTGGTTCAAGAGTCAGATTAAAACAGCAATGCAGCTATTTTTCCCTTTCAACAGTATGATACAGAATCCTCCTCATAGCTCATGTATGCATAAAGCAGGCAGAGTTCAGCTCCCTGACCGCCATCCGATCTGTCTTGTCAGATAATCAGGCTTCCAAGCGCTGCCTGCTAACTTACAGATTTCCTTCAGTTACTGTGAAGCTGTTGAACAACCTTCCACCTGGATTTCAGCTCTGCTTAGTTGTTGACAAAAAGTCGACTGTTTTTCTGCTCCTCCAGGCCCCTCTATAACAGCTGAATATGCATCAGTCCCTGTGTTATGATAGTGCCCGTTTGGTACTTCACATAATGACAGTATTTAATTTGATCATAACACTTTGAGAATCTGTGTGGTACATTAGATTTACCATGGCGTAAGCAGTCAGTTTTTAGATTTTATGTGGATTTATGGGATTTGTCAGCTGTCATTAGTCTGTTCCAAGTTATTCCCCTGAAAAATGAACCAGATGATATTTTTGACTCGTCAAAAATATTCAACACATTCCACTTTTAAATCTGTGCTTGTTGCTGTACCTCAGCTAAACAGAATTCAACCTTTGTTCACATATTTACTTAAGGTTTCCCTAAAAATGTTTGCTTTTTAAAATGCTCATTGGCTTATTTTTTTTACTTGAGAGAAACTTGACCTTATGATAAGAGTATAACAAACTACACCATCTCGGCCATTCCTATGAAATGTTGCAGTAAGCAACTGAATGTTTTGTTCTTCGGCATATGCACTGAAGCTGCATGAACTCTAACACAAGCCAATATTCTTTTTCATGCCAGGTTTAAAATTTGGTTTGCAGAAAAAATACAAAAAAAGCCAAAACAAATGAAGACCTACCCAAACTGTGCTACATATGATTGTCTTTGTTCATTTGTTGATATATTTCATAACTTTAACAGTTTTGTATGATTTGTCGGCATGTTTTTAAGGTGGTTCAGGATACTTTGAAGTGAGGTTCTGTGGTACCATCAGCAGTAATTCCTTCTCCTATGTCCTATAGCTGCTTGTTGGAAATGAATAAATTCTTACAGTGATTTAAACTGACATACTTTTTGAAACTGCAGACAATGCATCTGCTAACACAGTTATATTAATAATTATGGCATTTCCACCATTATTACATATTCTTACACTTCTGTGAATATTTCCCTTCTGTTCACCATATGCTGCATTCTGGCAACTGTCTGCAATAAGAAACACACGAACTTCCACACATTTCCAAGTAGGGCCAGCAAAATCCCATCCTACAAGAATACAACAATATTTGTTGGTATTTTTAATGTGTGTTGTACAACAGAATACAATATTAACATCCCCCAAATTCCCTCATCATTTTTTTTCTTGGTTTCTTCTTGAACTCACTGAGAGGTGGGATCAGACTAGACTGGTAATCCAGATCATCTCAGACACTCAGCTGGATGTGAGTCTTCATGGACTAAAAACACACATCCAGCCTGTGTATGAAGGGTGTGTATGATTTACTTTTCCCTTTATACATGACTAAACAGTTTCCTAGACACAGTTCAAATGGAGATTCATATCTGTTTCTTACAAAAAATGAAAGGACAAAAGCAGTTTCCACTTAAGACCTTATAAATATTTATTTATTTTATTACAGCTTTGATATATGCACATGCAAGCTAAACATACAGAGAACAAATAAAGAGGCCAAAGACAGTTTGTATTGTTCTAAGGCTCCTTTACAGAATTGTTAATCTGGAGGAGAACAACCTAAAGAGAAATCAGCAGGGATTTGTGTTTAGCTTTCAGCAGAGGGGAAAAAAACCCCATAAAAATAAATAAAAATGCAACATGACAATTTGATCTTTGCTTTGCATGCCCCATGAACTGTCTGTTTTGCTCCACAAGTTCTGTCAATCTGGATAAACCACATGTCTGCTGGAGGGGTTTGTGTATTTGACGAGCTCCTTCACATCTTCACCGATGATAAGACAGAGCCAAGGCTTCATCTCCAGATTCCTGCCTCAAAGTGTCTCTGGTGCCCATCCTGACTGAGCTCTGTGCCAGAGCAGATGCAAAGAGGCAGGCAGGAACCTCCAGACTCAGACATGTGAGCCTGTGGAGCAGAGGAGCTCGTCTTTAGCAACGGAAAGGCAGAGAACATCAATCTGAGGTTGGGGGGTAACAGTGCTCATAGCAGCGTTACAAAACACAGTTCTATTCAAACGCATCACTGAAACAAGACAGCTATATTAAATATATCTAAATGTCTAAGCACTAGAAGTGTTTAATGAATATTCATTCAGTCGTCAGATTGCTGAGTCCACAAAGCAAAAGTCAGAAAAATCCCAACGTGTCAATTCAGTTTGGTCATGCTTTGATTGTTGGCTGTATTGGGGTCATCAACCCAAACAGCTCTCTGTAGAGCTAGAGGGAACCTGGGTGCTCTCTGGTTTTCTCTGAAAACAGAGAAAATCTAAACAACTGCAAAAAAAGAATGTTTGATTTTCAACTTCATGTTAGGTTTCAACTTTGCAGCCGTGATGAACATGTTTCTGGGGTCAATAATATTTTAATCTGGGCAGCTTAAATTTAGCTTTTAAAATGAACATCTATATTTAAAAATGGTGGCAGTAGGAATAGTCACACTTTAAAAAGCTTTTCTCAGTGAGGACTCAGCAGGATGAAGACATTTGTGTTTTTACTAGAGATGCACCGCAACATCAGCCTGAGAGATACAACTGTTAGCAGCTAGCCAGGCTAACTGCTCCAACTATTCACTGTTCAAAGATAATAAAGACAATCAGACATTAAATCTCTTTTGACAGCAATTTCTCCTTCACACTTATAGCCTGATGCAGCCTCTGCTCTGGACTGCTCACAGCAGGTACGGTGGGCCAAAACGGCCATAATTCAGTGACCAAAAAGGTTCTTAAATAATAGTTAATAATATATGTGGCCATTTAAATAAAACAGGTTTGCACACATAAAAAAATCGAATCATCTAACATTTTAATAATTTAGTAAAAATAATTATAAAATAATAATTAGAATTTCAATTATTTTTATGGTAAAAGTAAAATGAATAAGTTTTGAGTTTCTAAGTGGATACAGCACACCATGTATTTATGTATTTGTCATCCTGACCCATTAAAGTCAGTCAGTTGGTGGTTGGTCAGAAGTTAAACAAATCAAAGAGCTGAAGTCGAGGTCATTTCATGACAGACTGTAACTGTACAGACAGCAAATCTGTAACAAGGGATGAAATTCAATGATCAAATGATTGAAAGTTTTTGTATTCAATAACTTAGAAATGCACTATATGCATTTTGATGCTGTCTAATTTAGTGTATGTAAAACGTTTCATTTTAACCATCACATATAATATTCATTTGAATTTATTGGTTTGATGGTGGAAGTTTTGGTCCTCTATTGCCAGAGACTAAAGAACACACCTATTTAATGCAGTTTATATATACTTTTATAGTTTTTAAAGAACAATCAGAGTTATTAAACAGACCTGAGCTTTTATAAAAAAAAATGGTCCCAAAAATCTGATTGATGCAGCTCTAGTTTTTGCCAAGTGATCCTTTGCAAGAACTAGAGCTGCATCACATGCCTCACCCAATAAAAACGCCCCATATTGAAGTAAAAACTAGAAACATCCTTGATATGTGTTTGGACTCTGGTGGTTTGTACTCGAGTGGCCCAGCTCCCATCACCTGTTTAGTCTCTGAAAATAAAGAAAGCAGCAGCAGAGTTTGTCCCAATATTCAGGCAGTGACAGACCGATCTGTCCTGTTCCATTAACTGCTATTTACACGTCACTAATGAGGACAAGCCATGGTAGTCGATGCCTTACGTACAGGATGGACTCTCTAGTTCAGAGTTCAGATAGAGACATTTTCAAATGACCTTGAAATCATTTTCATACAGTTTGTGTATAGGATAAACATTAGCAGCAAGTTTGAGGTACAAACTTGGAAAAAAACTAGAAATGCATATTGACTGGTTTGTTACATGGATGATACAGTAGCTGTTCTCAGCCACTGTGCTAGGCTGAGAACAGTGGCTACATAACATTCTGATACAGGTGATGATGCTGCATGAGGCACACTCATCTAACATTAAAACTGCTCCTTTTTAAAATCAAAGCAAAACCTTATAGTAAAACCACAGACTGTGTTTAAAACTCGGGGAAGAAAAGAGCAATTACTGATGAATCAAAGACGACAGTAATACTGCCAGCTGGTGGCTTCTGCAGGCTCCTGCACTGCACTCTGCTCCAGCTGATCAACACACAGTCAGTCCACATGTTTCCTTCCAGGGCCAACACACAGACTCACAGCTGAACTGAAGATGAAACAGAACAGAGCAAGGCTGCAGACCACGAGACTCACAGTCAGTCAGCTTCAGTCATGAACCCAACATTTCACATGTTCCTCCTCCTCTTCTCCCTTTACAGGGAGACAATCTTGCTCTCCACATGGACTTGGCTGAGTGTAGCAGTGCATGTGGAGTGTGTGTGTGGATGTGAATTCAGGGAGCAGTACACACAGGTGATGGACTTCCAGTGTGACGGTCTGGATTTACTTGTGGAATCTGTGTAGGTAAAGGTTGGCGTCGTCAAACAGCGGGTTCTTCACTTCCATCTCTCCTGTCTGAACAACAACACAATTTAATTAACAAGAGACCATGCTTGCTATTTACTGCATGAATAAATATATTTTACTTTGCTAGTTTTGTACTCAATTTATTCAGAGAGTAAAAGGTGTGCTCTGCATATTTAGTACCTGACCATGCATCAGTTGTAGCAATTAATGGCAGGAAAATATTTAATAGCTGCTATAACAACTGCTGAAATAAAGTCATCTATTACCAACAACTTCTCACTGTTTACTGTGAAAAATGTGCTTATTTGGCTCTGATAAATATTAACAGTTTGAGGCTTCAGGCTAATTTTAGCATTTCATCTTCCTCCTGCGCACAAAGACCACTAAAGTGGTTTTCTTCATTGTGGGAGTTGAACAGTCTCACAAACTTTCCCAGTCTCTCTTTTGTTGTCATTCTCAATGGATACACTTCCCTTAACCATAAAACTGTGGAAATTGAAATTCCGAAAATAAATTAGCTTAATGGAAACACGCCAACTTCAAACACAAAACTGCCACAAATATGCTTTTTTTTTTTTTTTACATCACGAGTTACATGATCAACAATCAAATGCTACCACTGAAGCAACCACAAAAACATGACAGAAGGAGGTAGGAGGATTTGTTTTTTGTTTTTTTCAAACAATGTGCAGCTGGCTCCACCAGAGCTCATGCTGGTCACTACCATAGTTCATTTTCACCCATCAAAGTCCAGACATAGCACGTTAAATAGTGTGTTTGCTCACTGGTGCCAGCCCAGGACACTCGTACACGGTGAAATCTCCATCATTCTCCTCATCTGTCGATGTTCCTGTGTCGGGTGGTCTGAGCTCATCACTGCGTCTGCATAGGTCAAACACTCAGAGTCATTCAACATGTAACAAAGAAAACACAGACCTGACAAGGCAGAACAGGAACATGAAGAAACAACGAGGCCCAGCAGGTGACTTACTGCTGCAGGGAAAGCATCTGTTGCTTCTGGTGCTGGTAGTGGTACATCTGGGCACTGTGGGCCAGTTTCTGGTCCCCAGGCTAAAAGACAGCAGAAAGTCAGATCAACAAGCTGCCAAACCATACAGATGACATTTCCTTTGCAGGAGCATGTGTCTTTACTGCACATGTTTAATCTTCACCGCTGGCTATAGCGTGGTGGTCTTATAAATATTTGCTTTATGCCTTTAAGTAAGCAGTTGCTGGGACATTAAATCATATAAGCAATGAAAATTATTCAGAGGTTTAGAAAGTTAGATTGGAGTTAGAGTAGTCCTGTGTGCAGATTAGATCAGGAACAGATAAGCTTTCCATTAGCAGGAAGTAGCTGCTGAACCTACAGACTTTACCAACCCACTCTAAGCTACTGTTGTACAGTTCAATAAAAACCAAAGATCAGAATGTAACTTTTGAAGTTTAAAGTGGTAAAAAGCCGTAAGAAATAGAAAGAAATACATAGTTATCTCACTGTTGTCATGAGTGCCACTAAGATTTTTTTTTATAATTTGTACAAGCAAATTCACATAAACCATGAACATAAAAGACATTAAATTCTAAGCTGCTGGAGCATAATTACATATTTTGCTGCGGAACTTCAGTGTTTTTTATCCCCCTACCCAAGTCCTACTCACAAAGTTTACAAAATTTTGAGTTTCACATGCAGGATAGTCCAACTTTTGAGCCTCCAGATATGCTTCTCTCATCATTCTGAAACCAGAAATCAAACAATGATGAAACACACTTGGAGCTGACAGCCATCTTCTGACACATACAAAGATAGCTAAGCATGCAACGAATTACAGAAGTCTCACCTGACACAGCAGATTCCAGATATGACCAAGACCAGCAAACACACTGCGATAATCACACTGGTCATAACTGAGAACACATAGCAACAGAAGATGAGAGGGAGGGAATGAGCTGCAGGTCTGTGACTGTCAGAGGAAGACATGGTCTCTGGAAGCTGCAGCCTCCACACTGAAGACAGCAGTGTGGCAGAACCAATGGTCTGTAGTGGATCTGCTCAGTCACAAGACATCAAAGCAGGTAACACTCACAAACATCTTTGATCTGAGACGCACAAGTTGAGCTTGTTGATGTTAAAATGTTTCTTTAAGTCAAGAAGATGGATGTTTATTGAATATAGGATTGATCCTGTCTGTACTGTGGATTGATAATCAGAAGCATTCTGCCTCTTTGCTCCTCTGCATCCAATCCTTGTGCTTGAATTCCAACAACCTGCTGAATCAGGAAGGGGATTCCCTAGCAAAGCTCCTAATGAGAATAAAAACTTCATCTCCCTCAGTGACTGTCATTCTGAGCTCTCCTCAGGGTCACAGTCAGTTCTTCATGGCTAACAGAGACTTACTGAGAAACACTTGGTCATTGCGGGGGTAGGCAGTGATGCGGGGCTCGCCCAGCTGACCAGGGCTGCAGCTGGTAGTAGAAGATGGACTTGTAGTGCTGAGTGTGATGCTGAGGCTGCTGGGCTGGTCTGTGGGAGATCCTCTGTGTCTGGAGATTGGCCTGATGAGCTGCTCTGCCTTCATGTCCAGGGAGGGTGGGACTGAGACACATGGAGACGAGCTTGGACCAAACCTAGAAGCAACCATGTTGACGTGCAGAACTGAAGCAGATGAAGACTTTCAGGTACCTGGCATCCTGGACTCGGTTCTCTGCTCACTGATGATGCCTGACAAGACATCAATCTCCTCATCCAGCTCAGGGTAAACCCTCACCTTACCTGCAGCAAAGCAAAGGTTAAAATCAGACCAAGAAATCAGTTAGTGACTGGGATTAGCCCATTTTATGTTTGACTGGCCAAATTGCTGATTGGCCACAAACTAAAAATCAGACCTATTTTCCAATCAGAGAACCCATTAATAGATCACACTGACAACACTGTTTGGTCTGGAAGTTGTTACAACAGGAAGAACTTCCAAACCAAACATGTGGTTTATAAATGAATTACTACTTAGTACTGTTGTGATCTGCGTTTTTCTGTGTAGTTATTTTGAGATTTTCTGTGTTAAGTCCTGTTTCCCTGTGAGACTCTGTCCTGTCCTCCCTGTTGATTGATTCCAGCTGTGACTAGTTTACTGATTACCCTCCCTGTGTATTTAAGTCCAACTATTGTCTTTGTCTCTTGTCGGATCCTCATCGTGTGTCGTTTGTCTAAGTCTTCGTACCAGCCTGTGTCAGTTAGCCATTCGGTAGAACTGTGAAGTCCTGAGTTGGTTGAACTATACAAAGTCATCATAGAGAACTGTTAAGTCCTATGTCGGCGTCAGCTCTCTAAGCAGTCGTTTCCTGTTCAGTTGCTACCAGGGTTAGCCTACCTCCGCTCACCGTGCTGCTGTTCTGTTTACTGGACTGTTGAGTCATTAAATCATCATTTTCATGACAACCTGGGTTCTACCTGCGTTCTCTCCTCACCACCTCAACCCCACCTCATGACAAGTACAGAGTCAAAGTTTAGCAGACAGTTGAATGGTGACCATCCATCCATCCATCCATCCATCCATCCATCCATCCATCCATCCATCCATCCATCCATCCATCTTCTCACACACAGTGTGATGTCCCTGTCAAATTAAATTTAGGACTTATTAAGGCCTTTTGATTCTCCTAATGGTTTCAACTTAAGACAGAATGAATTGTTAAAGAGAACTTGGGTAAATGACTTGAATAAATTACTTAATATGTTACCTATTCAATTAAGTTGATAAGGCTTTATTTAACAAACTGCATTTCAGGGTTTACCAAACTTCAACACTGTTAAAGGTCACCATGCATTCGGTTGGCTGCAGGTGTGTTTACTCCACTATATAGTTTTTACTGGACTACAGTCACACATGGTCTCTAACAGAGTTCTTATGTTGCTTTTATGTCACCCTCAAATGTTTCAGATCATCAAACAAGTGTCAGTATTAGTCAAAATTAGTCAAAGTAAATACTAAAAGTAGTTTTAAAATGATAATTTCATTGATCAAGATTAGAAAAAGCTATCCAAACCAATATAGCTGTTTAAAAATGTAATTGCTTGCATTGGATTAACTTAAGTTTTGATTCAGTTTTATTATGACCTGAATAAAACACCCCTGACTGTAAAAAGGAGTGTTTTATTCAGACCTAAAACAAAGAAATCATATAGGCTGGCAGATTTGACTTGAATTCCTTCTCGTCCAAACCCTTTTCAATTCTTTGGTGGTAATTAGAAGCTATGGTTTGAAATCAGGGCTAATGTTGGGATGCATGAAGTCCTGACCTCCCACTGAAAGGTTCTGCTGTCAAAAACCTCCAGGACGTACAGAGCTGTACTGCTATGGCTGAGGAAGGTCAAGTTTCCTCCATAGATTGTGTTCCAAATTTTGTCATGACTTCATAATGACATGTCTTTGGAGATTAAATGAACTCAATAAACATTAATTACTCAGCATTCAAAGATCCAGGAAACCCTCACTTTTTGTGTGTAATAAGACACATTACCATTAACTGTTTAAATCTCCTTATGCCGGCTGTTGTTGGCATCAAATGTTCTGTGTAAATAGTCAGGAACTAATCCCACACAGTCTAGCAACATGCATGTTATACTGTAAAAATATTTCCCATGTTGGAGGCTAAATATCTGTCTCTTTATGTTTGAAGCATAACTTCTCAGACATTTGTGACAAAGTGCTGCACATCAGGGTAAAGATGAGGGAAGGTGACATTCTCAGAAGAATAATACTCAGAAACAGCAACATGTTCTGTCTGGACCTCAATCTGACTCAGCAAAAACTGAAATAATACTAACTCAATCTGCCAATAAAGACAGAAGAATTACAACAACTGGGGTTGCTATTAGTTACATTTTACTTCAAGTTTTAAAGTCATAATTTCAGCTAGGAAAGTAAGAAGCTGTGTCTGACTTGTTGCCAGTAGTTTTCCAATCACCTACCTTTAGCAGCCTGAGCAGAATGAAGATGTCTTCTCGTGTCGACACAGCGGCCATGATGATCCTCCACCAGAGGGTACAGGCAGGGCCCGCAGTGTGAGCTGCCTTGTCGGCAGAAGTGCCGTCCTGCTCGGGCACAGTCCAAACTGCGAGGACATAAGTTAGAACCTGAGGAGGAAGACACAGCACAGGTTGGACATGCTCAAATGTCTCAGGTGCTTAAGTTTTAAATTGTAACAACATAAACAAGTGTGCTTTTGTTGGAGCCTATTAAGAAGTAGATTAATTTATTTTTTGCTAAACTATTGTTACAGATCCAAGATTATGCAAATGGTAGCTCTATTGTTATTTATTTGTTGTGCTCAGACCCTCCTTGTCAACCTCCTGCTGTGATTCAGTGATTGTTTGGTGAAGGAGTGAGGAGTGAAATAATTTTTCTACCACAAAATTAACGTTTATATTTAAATTTTTTGTATGAAATCAACTCAGAGAGTATTTCTGTTATTTTTATAAGTAAAGAAAATACTCTTTTTGAAACCAGAAAACTCTCTGCGAGTGCTTAACCTCCTGAGAAACTACTCTGGCATTTTTTGTTTTTTGGACATTATTATGATGCAAGAGTAGCCACAACAGCTTTATAATA